CTGCCTTAAAGATTTAAATTTGGCAAACACGTCCAGCTCCATGCGTCTAGATTATCAACAGCTGGACTACATGACCTCATGCCTCGGCTGTGTTGTTCATCTTGGACTTTTTAGCTTCAAAATAGTTTTGAGCTGAATAGACTCAAGGTTGTGTTGTCAGCCACTTGATTCAAAGCCATTTGGTATTAGTTGCTAATTCTAATGCAGAACGATGCTTTACTTAAACAGGCAATTGCTTTTTAAATGCCAGAAAATATTTCATCTTTGCTAATGAGCACTCCTCTTAAATCCCGATGGAATTGCTTCAAACTAGCAGTTCAAAAATAATGCAAACTCAAACTTTGCCAAGTAGCAGAAACACTTCAAACCAGCATGTTGTTGGTCATTTAATGGATCAGAATGATGCTGATATAAAGCAACAGTAATTCATGGACTCAAATCAGTTGAAACTATGCTTTCTAAAAAGTCATGAGCATTCTAAGCTCTAAGGGTCACTGAATGCAACGTGCTGATCAAACACTTTTCAACTTCAGACCTCATAAAAAGGGCTATAAAGATGACCTAATCAAGATTAAAAGCCTGAGCAGCAGCACTTTGAATAAAGGAATAAAGTCACAAGGTCCAAATTCCAACCCATGTTTTCCAAGTGAAGACAAGAAATGTAAAACACCACTGAGCTGAATTCAAGCAAAAATCCTGTCAAAACCTCTTTCGCTGCAACTTTGTTGTGTCATGTGTGGCAGAGTTGAGGCACGGATCACTAATCAGCTGACTGAAGATGGCTGCGTAGCTAACCTTTGCCTTTCTTAATCCTTTTATGAAAAAGGAACTATGGAAGGAGTGGTGGAACGGAACATCTTAGCACCATAGAAATGGAGGAAGAATAAGTTCAGTCACTGGTGACAGGCACTCTTCACAGTGCAACACAACAGCCTACACAGTAGTCCTGTGTGTGGCCCTCCACCATGGACTGGTACATAAATTATGCATTCAGAAAGAAAGCCATGTATTGCCCGGGATTACTGCTAGTAGCTGCCCAATATTGTACCAATATAGAATACAAGTTTCAGCCAAAGTACTTCAAAAATGTGTTTAGAAAAGAAAGGGTTCAATGCCATTTTATCAAGTTCAAGTCTTTTTGAAGGCTCTAGTAAACTTACAAGATTTACCTTTTAACAGGTATATAAGGACAGAAATAGACAACTCAATGTGCTGACAAAGCAACTAAATTACTGCTCATCCTCTCACCTCAACTTCACTAATGTATGTACTTGATCTAGAATCAGTTACATGTAAAACATTTTGTTGACTGGGAACCGTCTCTAAAATAGAAGCGTATTATAAAAACGGGAAGTTTTAAAACATCTGTTTGTTCCCCCTGTAAATTCTGGAAGTAATAAAAGTGAAGTCAGCACTTGCAGAAGAAAAAAAAAGCACTTAGTGTCAAAGATATAATCAAATTTACCTCTTGGATTAGTAGCTTCACGGTCAAATGTGAGCTGATGAAAGCAGATATAGTCTCCTCAGTCACACCTTAAGATAAAAGCTAATACTCTCTGTGTTATGGCTTCCAAGGAAGGACAAGTAGAAACCACCCACCTCTGAAGAAACATTAATACTGCTTTATCATGCTTCATCCTTCTGTGAATCCAAAGAGGCTCACAGTTAATAAAACCTGCTGTCTGTCACTGGACAGACCAATAAAATCCCACTGAGCTGCAATGGTTGGGTAGTACACTGCAGTGGATATTCACATCCATCCTAAAAGTGCAGCCAGGGTTTTATCGGTGTGTAGCTGCATTATTACATAATTGATCACAGACACTAAATACTGTAGTAGGACTGCCCATGCATGCAGACTTCCATTTAAGGGCCATGTGTGATTGTAATGCACACTGCTGGAAAGGGGCCTGTGCACATTAAGTCTCAGGCACACACATGGGAGGATGAGGGACTGCCATCTGTGCCGAGTGCTATTAGCCAGAGTACACCACAGCTGGGTCCATCCCTGCCGCCCCTGCCCCCACAATCATTACCCCTCAGGGACTTATGGAGGTTACATGGAGGGGAATAGTCTGCGTTGCTTGACACGTCAAGGCCCATCCCGAGCAGGCCTGCCAAATAAGATCTGACCATTTTGCAGATTTGGCTGCAGGGCCGACAGCTGTCGCAGACCAAAACCCAGCCGCTGTAACAAGATATCACGTAGCTGGTCTGGACATTCAAATTAGGCACCCCTGCAGATCCCCAAAGTCTTATCAACTGTCCTGACTAAGAAAATTATTGACATGTTTTTGGATAAGTCTGTGGTTTAGTAGATTTAGTAGATAAATCAATTAAGTTTATTACTTAAATAGTTATTTATCAAAATAAATAACTTAAGTAATTAAAACATTTTTTATTTAAAGCTCTACCTCCTCTTACTTTGCTAAAAAAAAAAATAATTAATTAAAAAAAAAATATGTTGTTTTGGGTTCGTGCTGTACTTGTGACACAAAAAAACATCTAAAGATTACCGCCATATATATAAAAAGCCAAGTGCTGTCTTAACAAATTCAATTACCAGATTAATCAAAAAAAAAATTTAATCACAGCTTTAGAACTTCTTAAACCTTCAAGACTTCTGCCAAAAATGCTGTCTAGCATCATCCCAGGAAACTTCAGAGTTTATTGAAACAAAAAAAACCTGATTGGACAACACATAAGGTGACAACAATGAAATAGAGGTCATTATTGCCATTTCCACTTAATCAAAAGTTGAGTTGAAAACCTTCCTTACAACATTTTCATATAACATAGCTTTGTGCATTTTAGTTGTGCACTTGAGTCAAGTATTTTACACAACCCAGATCTGTTTAATACCACACTGGGTTGAATGTTCTCCCGCTCTGGTGTAGGAAAAATTGAGCATGTCAACAGTTCTGACAATTAAAAACATGGGTTTCATTTGAAGAACCAGCAAAGACATTCCAAAAACAACTCTCTGTAAAAGGTCCCTGCAAGACAATAAATGCGTGAAATTGTAAAATCTTAGACTCAGCAAGCATCTGAGGCAGATGGTTTATGGCTTCTGTGTGTACGCTCCATTGCCAGTTTACAGCTTAAGAGTGCAAGTCATTCAAATGAGAAGGTTTCTCTGAGACTTCCATGAAAACGGCCTTGTGACATCTGATCAAATAGTATTTGCACATTTGATTATATAATTTAGCAGCAGTTTCAGATGTAAATTTTAAAAAGCCCTTTGGTTGAACCCTCACAAATCTAGCTGACACGTGAGACCTCAAGAGCAGAATTTGGGGAACGTAGACTGGTCACATGAAGGTGACTCCAAGCAGGGAGCATTTTTGCTGAGGCGGCCATAAATCCTGTCGGCTTTCTGCGTTTACATTCTTAGCATTACTGTCTTTAGCAGTGAGGCCTCCGATGATTCGGTGGGCAACACAGCTAGCTTACTGTTATTGCATTCTGACTATGCACACCGTGCGACACAATCAACGCGGGATTGTTGACATGCAGTTGCTTAAGGCCATGGATGACTTCTGTGAAAGGGTAACACAAACACAATCTGTCTGATAGGATTTGTTGGAGTTAGTGGCTCTCGATTGAGTTGTCTGCCTTAGTTGACAAAGGAAAAAACCCCTGTTAATGTAAAAGATTAGAACTAAGTCTTTGTATATTGATGAGAAGCTAATAACTTCTTATACTGTGGCCGAGACGGACCAGAAGGGATTAAGCATTTTAGGAGATTTGCAATCAGTAAATCTGACTTAATTACTAATAATGCCTGCTGGCACTAATAAAAAAAAGTTTAAATAAGCCTTTTATTTCCCCGTTTACATTGTTTACTGTGTAAATTTGAAGGCACATTTGCTCATTATGTTTTTAAATTAGTTTTATGCTCACTGGACAGTAATAGGCCAAGAATGACTAACTTGAAAAATACTGATGGAATACCAGTGCATTCCCAGTAAGAGCAGTCACTAAATGGCATTGTGTCTACTAGAACTTAAAGGTAACATTATTCTACAACCTAATCCAGCTTGATGAGCTGTTACAGACAAAAAAAAATACAAAGATACACTGATGTCTGAGTGAGCTAGCAGAGCCATAGTCTTGTGGTTTACTATTAAAAATATGTTTTAGTAATGATCAGATAATTAAAAAGCTATTCATGTGATTTTTGTGTTACAAAATCCTGATGATGAAAGTGCTATAATCAAGTCACCTGTCTATCTAGACATTTTTACATTATATATACACACAAACACAGTTGGACAAATAACTGATGAGTGACATTTAGAAGTAGAAAAAAGTTACAAATGGTCCTTGCTCATCTTTGTAGCCTTTGACATGAGAGTCACCATTTGTATCACAGCTACAGATGTCAGAGCATCTTATTCTTTAGTATATGAGACAAATTATGGTTTATATGTGTATAAATACAAGCCAAAAATCATGATTCAACAATACTGACCAATATAAATTTGGGTCTTCCTCATATAAAATCAATGGTCTCAGCAGTTTTTGTTGAGTGAAATGAAAAGACTGCCTCCTCCATTGTCACTGTGCAAACTAAAGCTGTAAACAGAGGTGCAGCCTCAGTAAACGAGCTATGAATCCCTGCCTACAAGGCCCACAATGTTCTTGCCTCTCAATGCTACTGCAACAGCAGCTTACTATGCATCTTAATTAAATTGTCAAGTCAGTCTCCAGCCATTGCATGCTGTGGCAGCAAGGATGTAAGGATGCTAAAAGAGGATCCAGACCGTGTCATCCTGCCCCTAACCACGCCTACCGCACTGCAGATCAAAAACACCGAAGTATGTCGTCTTAACCTCGGACAATCTGACAGTTTTAATCCATTAATTGTCTGCAAATTGTAACATTGCCTGCCAGTGACTCAGCGCTCTCCTTCACTGATGTAAAAACGGGAGGGATTAAAGGTCGGACAAGCATCTGTATCGTCTCGTTTCACCAATTTCACCCACTTTCTGGCCCCGAAACTTGAGCACGTTAGCCAGCTTCACCTCAAGCGGTGCGCTTCTTTAAAATATCCGTGCATACCCCGACTTTTAGCTTCAGATTAACCACCGCTGCAGGCAGCTCAGTCGGCAAAAAGCAACATTTTCTGCTTCAGTGTTACGCGCCGAATGGTTACAATGTGAAACGACAGTGGGATTAAAAAAAAGAAAGAAAACCATATGACCTCCGTTTCTGACTCGGTTAACCACGTCCACTAGACTTTTTCCGCCTGAGTAGATACAGTAAAACTGTACTCTAATGTTAATCATCTGTCATCGGCCGCGGGTGCTGTGAGCACGCGATCGAAAATGTGGCACGAGACAAAACCTCACAAAGAGCCGTTCAAGCCGCGAAACTTGCATCTTCTCTAAGTGAGCCTCGGTGTAATGGTACAAACGACAAGCAGCGAAGAAAAATGGGTTTATTACCAGACACGGCGTCCTCGTTCAGCTGGTTATGCGAGTTGCATTCGTAGTGGGCTTCTGTTTCCTGACAGCGGTGCTACTCTGCTGCAGTTCCCCTCTCCACCAGCCTATCAAACTCCACTATGCAGCCGAGAGTAGAATTGTGGGATATCAGGACAGCCGGGGCATTATTTTAGCAGCACCCTCCTCCCAATACACATACACGCACGCGCACAGCAGGGTAATTAATGGCACGAGGTTTGTTGTTTTAGTGACGAACAACACTAAGAGTCATCTCTGTGTACGGACATGAGATTAAATTAAAGTCAATCAGTGGAGGAATGTAACAAAGGAAGGATGATGTGCTCAACTGATTGTTCAGTTTAAAGGTGTCTGTGGGCCGATCTACAGTCTGCAGGGTATTTTCTGTCCCACCCATGAGTTTGAAAATAATGCATGCGCAAAAGACTAAAGCATACTTTTGTTGCGTAAACTGCACTTTTCCTGAGAGAATTTTTTTAAAAGCCTTAAAATACAAACAGTTATTTGAGAACATTTTCTCAACTTCTTTGTAACCAAATAGGATGTTAAAATGACTTAGAAATCCACTTAAAAAATAGTTGACACTTCTTTTTTTACATCAACATATTTTAAAGAATAATTTTGCAGCGCT